TGAAATAGGAAGTGGAGATCCACTCTGTAGCATCTTTCATGCATCCTGGAGACACAAGGAAAATGGTTTTGCCCTACTGCACTGTGAGCTCAGGTTTGGGTATATATTTTGAGTGTAGTTATCACAGGGAGATGGATGAGGCAGTACAACCTGAAGGTGAAAACGTCTCATAAATATGGAACTAGATTCCCCAGGACACATCTGGAAGACCTCCAGATGTAATTCTTTGTGCTGCTTTGCTACTGCCTTTCGTGTTGCTTTTGTGCTCATGCTACAGCAATGTTGTTTGACACAGGCACAAGACCAGAATGAGGACCATTGCTGAAATAATGTGTGCACCAGTATTGCACAAACTCATGTGCAAACTTAGACTATCATAAAGATTTTGTAAAATTAAATATGGTTATTGATCATGGCTAATATTTAAAGATGACAATTTCAGAAAATACTTTGTCCTTTGGTACTCTATGAAGCAGTCATTTATGAAGCTTTATTCCTGCTGAATCTGCTGCTTGAATTATACACAGGCCACTCTGAAAAAGTTACCTAGGCAACCCTTCAATTGGTCCTTTTGTGCTCAAATTTTATCTCAATCATCACATTTCAAAGCTGAACATCCAGCTCAGTTTGGTTTTCCCACTGTAAGAGCATCTACCAAAATGGAAAAGAAATGGATTTACATTTTAGGAAGTAACCACACAAACTACTGCACCAACATAGTCCCCCAAAAGTCAGGATTCAATATGTTATAGCTGTGAGGTACTGATCATCTACCAAAGGGTACAGAGCTGCAAGCTAAAGGCAAAGGCTAGCTTCTTAGCTGCTCAGTAGCCTCTTAAGTGCTGTGTGGAGTGTTACAAATTGTGTCTACATATGTGTTTTTAAAATCTTTTAACAACAATAGCAATTAAGACCTAGACACTCTACTGCCATCTTAGAATCACAACAGTTGAGAGTTTCACAATGTATAGGGGTTAACAAAACCCAGTATTCTGTTGACATCAGCATATAATCCCCAAAATAACTACAGTCTGTCAATGTGTCAAGAGGAAAACAGGAGCTTACTTCAGTACACCTATGTCAGGTGACATTGTCATACATCTCCATGTCAGGAGAGCCTAAGGGAAGAGCTGGGCTTGCTTGTCTAGGTTCTCATCACTTCATGGCAATTGAGGAGTTGAACTATATTCAACAATTAATTGTTGAATAATTAAGACTGGATCTTCAACCAAAATAAGCAATAAGTAGAAAATGTTATGAACAATACCAACATATGGTGACATTTCATCAACAATTCTTTTGCTCATAAAAGTAACTGATGTGGTTGTTTAAATGACTGCTTTTTATAGCATTTGTCATAAGGCTTATGTAAGCAATGTTAAGAAAGGGTAATATCTCACAATCTATGGGAAGAGTAACAGGTCCATTGCAGAAAGGACTGATTTCTCAGGCAGGAGCAGCACAAACTAGACCAGGCTGCCCAAAGCCCCATCCAGCCTGGCCTTGAACACTTCCAGGGATGGGGCATCCACAGTTTCTCTGGGCAACCTTTTCCAGTGCCTCACTGCCCTCTGAGTGAAGAATTTTCTCGTAACATCTAATCTAAATCTGCCCTCTTTCAATTTAAACCCACTACTCCTTGTCCTATTACTCCACTCCCTGACACAGAGTCCCTCCCCAGCTTTTTGTAGACTCCTTTAGGTACTGGAAGGCTTCTATAAGGTCTCACCTGAGCCTTCTCTTCTCAGACTGAACAACCCCAAGCCCTCGCAATGTGTTTTCATAGGAGGATGATCCATCTGTCTGATCATCCTCATGGCTCTCCTCTGGACTCGCTCCAACAGGTCCATGTCCTTCTTGTGCTGGCAACCACAGAACGGTATTCCAGGTGGGGTCTCATGTCTCATGAAGCAGAGCAGAGGAGAAGAATCACCTTCCTTAACCCACTGGCCATGCTTCTTTTGATGCAGCCCAGGATACAGCTGGTTTTCTGGGCTGCAAGCGCACATTGCTGGCTCATGTTGAGCTTCTTATCAACCAACACCCCCAAGTCCTTCTCCTTAGGGCTGCTGTCAATCCTTTCTCTGCCTAGCCCACATTTGTGCCTGGGATTTCCCAGACCTATATACATGACCTTGCACCTGGCCTTGAACTTAACGAGGTTTGCCTGGGCCCACCTCTCAAGCCTGCCAAGGTCCCTCTGGATGGCATGTCTTCCTGCCATCATGTCAACTGCTGGTGTCATCACCAGTGGCACAGCATGGTAACATCTGCAAGCATGCTGAGGGAGCACTCGTTTGCACTGTCCATGTCACCAACAAAGATTTTAAACATTGTCAGTCCCACTACAAACCCCTTCAGAACACCAGTTTTCACTGGTCTCCACTTGGACATTGATCCACTGACTGCAACTCTTTGAGTGCAACCATCCAGGCAATTTCTTAACCACCAAGTGGTCCATTCATCAAATCCATGTTTCTCCAATTTAGAGTTAAGGATGTTGTGCAGGACAGTGTCAAATGCTTTCCACAAGTCCAGGTAGAAGACCTGATCTCCCACAGTGGGCAGTTCTTTACTCTCCCAGTCATTGCTTTTGCCATCTGTGACTTCGGCTGTGTGGCTACAGCTCTTGCTGGTGAAAACTGAGGCAGAAAGTCATTGAGTACCTCAGCCTTTTCCATATCCCAGGTGACCAGGTCTCTTCCAGAGAGGGTCCACATTTTCTCTAGCCTTTCTTTTTATTACTGACAAATCTGAAGAAGCTTTTCTTGTTGTTCCTGGCCATATATAATTCTATAAAGGCTTTCGCATTCCTAATGTGATCCCTGGCTGCTCGTATAACTTCTCCCAGGCTATCTGTCCTTGATTCCACTTTCTGTAGGCCTTCTTTTGAGTTTGGCCAGGAGCTCATTGTCCATCAGCACAGTCCTCCTGGCATTTTTGTCTGACTTCTTCTTTGTTGTGATGCATTGCTCCTGAGCTTACAGGAGGTGATCCTTGAATATTAACTACCTTTCTTGGGCTCCCTTTCCCTCCAGAGCTTTATCCTGTGGTACTTTGCCATGTAGAACCTTGAAGAAAACAAAGTATGCTTTTCTAAAGTACAGGGTATCGAGCTTGCTGTGTACCTTGTTCTCTGTCCTCAGGATCTTGAACTCCAGCATTTCATGGTCACTGCAGCCAATGCTGCTCTTGAGTTTCACATTCCCCACCAGCCCTTCCTTACTGGTGAGAACAAGGTCCAGCATAACACCTCTCCTTGTTCTCCAAGAACCTCCTGAATTGCCTGTGCCCTGCTGTGCTGTCCCTCCAACAGGTGCCAGAGTGGTTGAAGTCCCCCATGAGGACCAGGGCTTGTAAACATGAGGCTGTTTCTCTCTTTCTGTGGAGGGCCTCAGCTACTTGGTCTTCCTGATCAGGTGGCCTGTAGCAGACCCCCACTACAATGTCATCTGTCCCTGCCCTCCCTTTAGGGAGGCTCTGCCAGCTCCTCATCCATTTCCAGGCAGAGCTCCACACACTCCAGCTGCTCCATTTCTTCTCCTGCCTGTCCTTCCTAAAGAGCCTGTATCACTCCATTCCAACATTCTAGTCATGGGAGCCATCCCACCACGTCTCCATGATGCCAATAAGACCGTAGTCCAGTAGGTGTGCACAAATATCTAACTCCCCTTGTTTATTCCCCGTGCAACTGTTTTTTTGGAGGGACTTATTCATGGACTTACTTCATGGAGCTCTCTAGAAAAATCTTTCCACAGTCTGAATAGGATTTGCATTACACACCTCTATCTGACAGACCCATTTAGGCCATTTTTTCCCCTCTTGCCATATTATGCAATGTTAGATCCATGTGCAATTCTAGAGTCATTGACTACCTGCGATAAAAGTTAATAGGTTGTTTTTAAACATAGACCCAAAAGGCTGAAATGTGCTTACTTTGCTTTATTTCTGCAGCAATCTAAAGGGCTCCGTTTTGTTGGCAGAGGCAAACTAGGGAAAGAGAGATGTGTGGCAGATGGAATGTTTTCTGTCAGGGAAAAGGTCCCTATACATCAACTCTGTAATACAGATGAGAGGTGAAGATCTTACACATAAAAGGATATTAAAGATTGATGTTAGAATCAGCTACTCAAATAAAAGAGGAATGAATTTCTTTTAGTTTTATCACCAAGTTGTGAAGAAGACTGCTGTGTTGTGGAAAGTCTAAACACAAGTGGGTCATGGTGGAGATGAGAAGACTTTTCCTCACCTGAACAGCTCAGCTGTGGAACCAGAGCCCAGAAATGTCAAGTGATTTCACCTCCGGGGTGGGGTTTCATATCCCAGCTGGGCAAAGTTCTGAGCAGCCTGAGCAGGGTTGCTCCCCAGGTCCCTGCCAGCCTGAATTGTCCTATGGTCCTTTCAACAAGGGAATACATGCACATGTATCTTGAAAAGTAATGTTTAAATTACTCAGAAGAGCTTAAAAAGTTATATATGTGTGTATGTATACATGTATATACATGTATTCACATATATATAGTTGTTATGCATATATGCAAGTATTTGTGCGTGTGTACCACCACACATATATTTATACAAATCTCAATCTATTTGGTCAGAACTGGGGCAGTCCAGACCAGTTTTGATGTCTGGTTAGACAAGCACATATCCCAGGGGAGAGCCTGCAGGAAGATGAAATAACGTATCAGAGGCACAAAGCAGGTGTTGCCCCCCTCCAGGGAGAAGGTGCAATACTTCTCCATGCATCCCAAGGGACCAGCATCACTGTCAGTACAGATGCAGTCAGACACCGTCAGGCAGCCTGTGCTGGAAAGATACCACATAGCCTGGCCCAAACCATCTGACTGTTCTAGCTAATGTTGCTAGGAAGATGTGGTGTTAATGTGATATTTTCAGACCCCATGGGTTCTTACTGAAGTCCTAAGGACCACAATTTAAACAATCCCTAGCCCCATTTATCCACTTCAATACTCTGCTCACTGCAGTTTGTCTTACAGAATGAAGAGGATGAGGACCAGCCACTCAGCCTGGCCTGGCCTGACACCCCACGCAAGCAGCTCACCTACCTTGTTGTATTACCCATTGTGTTTCCACTGTGGGCTTCACTCCCAGATGTCAGAAATCCCGTGAGTAACTGGCTTTACAAGTCCATGTGTTCTACACAGCTGGGGATTCTCTAGCTAAATGCCAACATCCAGAAAGAGACTGCAGTGAATTTATGTAAAAATAGAATTAATTATTTATGTTTATAAGTTTCTTCTTTGGGGAAGCCACATCATTAATCTTCAAATCTTCAAATAGGTGCTTATGGACAACTGATTGGTAATAGATCTATAAAAATTGCCATTCATATTCATTAATATTTTGTGACGCGAAGTGAAATCTCTTCAAATTTCTTTGGGGATTTCACATCTGCATTTCTAGATTTCCACTGAGCATCACATAAGTGCTGAGGAAGTCTGCCCATCTTTAGTGCCCTAAAGGGTGAAACTAGAAAGAATATTAGACTGTCTAGACTTTCTCAGTGGTTCAAAAATAATGATATGCATTTTCTACTACACCTCTGCCTTCTACTCACCATCTTTAAATTTCATACTAGAACAAAACCCAGAAATCATTCCATGTGTAAAACACTTTAATTTTTATCCCCAACTTGGCTTGAAGCCTTGTAAACCTTCTTCTTAATAGAAATTATATAAAATGACAAGCTGTCAAGCGTTACCACATTTACACTCACATATCCATATAATCCTGACTGGGAAGGTTCATGGAAAGTAAAAGAACTGTAAAAAAGAAGTCAATAGATGTGATAGATGGAAAAATCCTTTAGCAGTGTTTTAATCTCTTTTCCTTTCTGGATCAAAAATAGACTTAAAACTGCTGCAAGAGAGCGATGTACAGCTTAAAAGGTTATAAACCAACACCCAGAATTATTTTTTCTTCCTTATCACATTTCCCATCCCACACACCCAAAAACTGTAATTCAGTGCAAGAAACGAGCTAAAATAAGACCTCTGATTTGTTTTTAGATACGGGTTTCTCAAAGGACATAAACTGACATTTTCCCTTCCAGTTTTCAAGCTTTATTTTCTTTAAGTTTTCAAACAACTCTGGTAAACATTTTTGTTTGGTAACACAGAAAAACACACTAAATGAATTTCCAGATTGTTTGTGTCTTTACTTAAGCTTCTTCACCTACCCCCACCCAGTATTATTCAAAACCACCTTTATACTTTTTTTCATGATTTGAGCCAAAATGAGCAAGTACTCAGATGCTAAAAAACAAGGATGTTCATTATTTTGAATTTTGTTTCTTTCTGTAAAAACTTGCCCAATGTTCTATACTGCACAAGTGAGAACAGTTGTTACAACAGTGGCTTTGGAAAAGTGAATATCTCTTGATATGCAATTGTGTAATATGTGTGAATATTTTTTAAGTTTTATAATATCATTCAATGAAAGGTATACATATTTTTTTACACAAAAGCAAAAACAATGCAGTTTATAATTATATATAATAATAACAGCAGAGGTAACAGGCTGTATCAGTATGACAAGCTGCTTACTTTGAACATTACTGTCAAAGAATTAACCAGATGGTTGCATCAACTCTCTGTGCCCAGCTGTCTAACTTTTCAAGGACACTTCATTAGAGTGTTTGTCTCCAAAATATTCTCACTTATGCCTGTGTGCCATCCTCTTCCTTTCCTAACAAAAAGAAAACACAATTTCACAGCTCAGCATGTGCATCAGAAAACAAGTTTCCATGAAATCTGTGAGGCAAAAGTTAAAACACTAAAACAATATTTAAATAGATTTTGTAGGTAGGCCTACTGTCAGGGGCTCGATTTGCAAGTGTGGTAATTTTAGTTAGAAACCCAAATTCTCCATCAGGATGCTCAGATTAGCATGTGGGTATATAAAATTAACACTAGTGTGCTAAATACTGATTTGAGAGGCCATATGGAGCTTTGACATCCTCTGTGGGTATCCACTTTTCAAAAATGAGTTCTTCTTCCCTCCTAGAGTTTGTTTTCTAAAATATATTTTACCTCCACTTAATGGAGAAGGTTTGACTGCATTTACTCGTACTAGACCAAGCTATATCTTGCTCCTTGAGGTCCTGAAACTCTAGCAAAATTACTTCATATACAAGGACTCCAGTTATGAAATTTGCAAAATCCTTGCTGCCTTATTATGCTCTGGTGCATAGATATGCAGATTTATATATACCTACAGTAGATTACAGAGTAGGTCAATTAACTCCTCAGCTGATTCAATAGCTGACATATTTTAATGTGTGTTGATTGCCTTAACTATACCTGCTCACATAAAACAAGCGTACATGAAAATCCTTACCGTAACATCAACAATGTTACTGGCAGTACAGCAGAAGCAGGTGCACCCCTTCGGAATCTGACTTTTTGTTCAGGTATTTTGAACAATATAAATATATTTTTTTCCTATACTAATAGAGAACATTTTCCCAGTGATACTACGAAGGTTGTAAGCACAACCATCTACTTTTTACAGTTAGGGATACTGAAACGTTGAACGGAAAACAACATGACTAAGGTGACCCAGGGGCCCGTGGCAGACATTGAACACCATCTCATTTGTTATAATCGTACTGCAACATCCATCCCTTTGTATTACAGGCCAGAAAAATGGCTATCTTCAGTCCAATCCTGTTACGACTGGACCCATATGGGGCAGTTCATTGCATCTCTGAAAATTCCCATTACCAGCAAGAACTTACATGAACTCTCCTTGCCACACAGAGATACATTGTTACCAAGGGGACAAGGACAAGATGTTCCTTCACAGATCCAGTTACAGGAACAGGTTCTGAGTAATCAGATTTAAGCACTGTCAAGTATGGAAGGAAAATCAAAGCTTGCAATACAGATAAATTTATGCATGAGACAAACATATGATTCATTCAGGTTAAAGGGAAAAAAAAAAAAAAAGATATCAGTAATAAAAGCAGCTAAAATTAAGACAGGTACCTTACAAATCATTAGGTACTCACTATCTTTCAGGATCAGACTCTTAGAAGAAAAATCTTCACTTTTCAACATACTTTGATCATTCTTGCTACTTGTTTTCAAGTCCTGTTTTTCAGACGCTGACATGAATTCAATACAGAAATGTACCAAGAAAAATGTCCTTAAGGTTACTGATAGACAGGAAAAGTACCAAACCAACCAATGTACAGCAAAGCTACGAAATTCTTTCTCTTTTGTTAAAAGAAAATAGCATACAAACTGAATGAACCATGGCTTTTCTCCTTTGTCTGTTACCATGACCACAACAGAACCAATTGGTAATAAACTGGGCTCTCTCTCTTTGTAAGGCAACCATCACAACAGCTACCAGAAAAGGTGGAGAGAATTGCTCTCTGTTGTTTCTGACTAATTCTTTTAGGAGAATACTTGGAATTAGCAGCTCTGTATATTCCCAAGAGGTAACGAGCTACAAAGAGATAAATCTCAAAAGAATGCTGCCAACGGTTACAAAATAGTCATGATTATTATTTTACTCTGGAAATAAAATCCAGCATAAGGAAAAACAACAGCAACAAAAAACAGTGCCATCACTGTTCCATTTTAAAAATGTAATCTATATGCAAATTATACAGCAGCATCTATGGAGTCCCTTCTTGATTTCATCACCTGTAATCTGCACAAGCTTTGAATTTTGCCCTTTTTGAGTTTAAGTGTTCCTCGTTTTAAAATTGGTAATTAAACTATTAAGTCTATTAAAGTGCCCGTAATCTCAAATGGCTGCCTATCAGTTTTTCTGGAGGGGGATTGGCTAAGACAGTCTGGGAACAGACACATTGCAAAGTTTCTGACTGATAGTCCCTTAACCATCCAATTCTCCATGTTCTATCTATCTGACTCAGATAAACAAAGCCAAGTTATTTTACAAGAACTGTTCAGTATATATAATCCTGTATTTTCATTAGTCAGACAGCTATTACTGGCCAGTACAGTTATTGTTGTATTGGATTTGTGTAAGCCAATGTATGCTTATTTCTTGAGTGTTGTATATTGATTATTCAAGTTTCACTGCAATGATGTGCTCTTGTTTGTATTTTCTGACCAGCTGTGACAAGTTTATTACTTCATCATCTCATTCACCATATGTGTTGCAAAAAAAATCCTTTTCATGCAGAAGGCAAAAAATGTTGAAAGTTGAAATATGTGACTGTTAACAATGCTCGAAAAGAAGTGCTAGTCTTTCAGTATGTCCCCCAGTACATTTAAAGTTGTGATTTTAAAATAAAAGGTGCATCTGATTTCTGAATAAGTTTAGGCATCGGAAGTTCATTGCTAGATTTTCTAAATTAATAAATGTTCAGAACTCTGTTTTGAAAACTCACTGCTTGCTCCATAAAGTTAAGAAGCAGATCAACTGAAGTTGCTTAGGCAGTTCTAGAAACAGTGCTTGTGACAGGAGTGGAACTTAAAGAAAAAAAATAATTTTCAGATGCCATTGTGACTATCCCTATATTTAAAAATAATTCATTTAAAACATCTTACTGGAATGATTTTCTTGCTCCAAGAAGTTCAGCTAGTTATTTATATATGAGTATTTCTACATGGGGTTTGGGAGCACTGTTAAATCTGTTCCATCTTTAATGTGTACTGTTATGAATATTCAATTACAGGGTTGTGTAGGTCGTGCTAGTCAATGTTTGCAAGCCCAGTTTGCAGGACAAAATTTAGTGTTATGCAAAGTGCCCATGTGTCCTGCAACACAACCCATAAGCACACCCATTGCTGAGGCTGATATGGACGTTTAAATTGTTTCTTCCTGTAGATGAGTGCGTACAATTACCATTGCTGACTTTACCTTTTTTCCATTAAGGGTGAGGATTTTCTTCAGCAGGTAGATGCCCATAAGGAACTGGTTTCATTCAGGATTGATAGCATTCATTCTTTTTAAACAGTAATTTGATTAAGACAGTGTTTACTCAGTACTGTACTGCAGTCATGTTTCCTTCCTTTAGTTGTTAACAATCACTTTTTGTTACATACATGTAGCAAGCCAATAGGAAATATGAATGATGCAAAAGACTGGAAAGAAACAAAACCAAATATGTATATATATTTATATATATACAGTCATGCTCACATGTAAGTATATAAATCATTACTCTGAATGTAACCCATTCATTGGCTGCAATAATACCATCTATTCAAAGCTTGGCGTTAGTAAAGGAGATACGGAAAATGAAAATGAGGTTACCCTACTGTGATACAAATTTTGGAATTCAATGAAGGGCCTTAGGGTGTTTTAACTTTTTTTTTTTTTTTCCTTTAGAACAAACTTCTCTACAAAACAAAGCACTGCAAATATATTCTTAATGTTTATTCTCTTCTAATTGAAAAAAATTAGTCATTTTCCCAAGAAAAGCCCATGATCTAATATATTCTGAATATGCATTTTTTTTACAGTCTATCCTGTGATAGCCTGTTATGGTGACTGTGAATGATGTTGTAGAAAGTTATCAATATGTGAATAAAATGTAACAATTTGAAAATATTCCTTCTGATCAGGCATGAATTTATTCATATTTTGCATATGCAAACTGCAACATAACAGCATATGATACAAATAAACAACAGAAAACCTGCCATTCATAATGAAAGCTGTTGTTAGGGGGATGAATCTTGTCATAGATCCATTTGCAACCAAAGCCAATGCAAGAATGAGGCCCAGCTAAGCATATACCAGTGTGGAAAGCCAGTCTTTTAGCACTCCTGACTTTTGTCTTGGTCATATGGTGGTCAGAAGAGTTGATCAGAAGAAGCGAGAGGTCACTTAAAGTATGAATAGAATAGAACAAAGCAGACTTCAACATAGGTGCTCACTGCTTCTCTTTGTTTCTTTTTCAGAGGTCAAGAAAATTTTTCCCTATCACATTTTTTGGCTCAATCAGTTGGATTGCATTTTTTTCTTACTTAATGGTCTGGTGGGCACACCAGGTAAGAAGGTGATGCTGGTATGAAATGCAAGCCCTGCCTCATGTTTTGCACTGTGAGAAACCATTTAGAATCAGAGTCCGTCATATCCTCATGCTGAGTAGCACTCTATTCAGGAGCTGCAATGATAGATGAAGTAAATCACTACTCAGTAAATGGAAAGTAGTTCAGAGAGCTGTGGTTGCCCTGACCACAGGATATAATCACTCTGGTAACATCTGAGACATCAGTAGCTGCTTGTCGATGCCTACATGGTTCTCTGTGACAATCTTATATTTCTCCTGAAATGTGGAGGTCTGTGAAAACAGTAATTCTCCAATCTTGACTGTATTCTCAAAGATGGTCAGGAAGCTCCAGTATAATATTCTTGGTTAAGCAGGTTTAAAGCAGAAAGCATTCCTCCACCAAATGAATGCAACTCTTTTTTTTTTTTTTTTCCTGTCTTTGTTCAAATCCTTTTAGGTTGGAGAAACCATTGGTATTAGTGAAGAAATCATGGGATTGACTATTTTAGCTGCTGGCACATCCATTCCTGACCTTATTACCAGTGTTATTGTAGCACGCAAAGGTCTGGGGGACATGGCTGTATCCAGTTCTGTTGGAAGCAACATATTTGACATCACAGTGGGGTAAGTCCTACAGCAAGAAAACTGTGTCTGTTTTAACAAGTGCTTTGTTCTTGGCATTGTTGGCTTGGTTTTGTCAAGGTGTTGCCTACCCCAATTTTCTGACATTGATGTTTGAAAAAGACAGTAATGTAAATATACAATGAATGTTAACATTTCAAATGTTCAGAAGTTTATAGACATTTTTATGACAGGCTAGTTACAAAATCATTACCTAATTCTCTGTGTCATACACTGAAGAGCTGCCCAGGCAAGTAAATCACACTAAAAAAAAAAAAAAATGTTCCAAGTAGGAGTTTTTGAAGCTTTTATGCTTTTGTTAGGTTTCTGTTTTTCACTTACGTTACTACTTACTGGGCTTATGCCAGGACTTTCTTTACAACCACTAATCAAGGAATAATTCATTGCCCCTGAATCATTCAGTGTGTTTGTTGCTAGAAACAAACATATGTCAATGTCTTATGTAGCTCTCATAGTACGTTGTTGACGTGACCTTTTTATATAGTTGTTGACATTATTTTTTTTTATATAGCTCACAAATTCCAAATTACAAACCAATTCTCTATTAACACAAAAGTCTTTTGTAAAGCACTATGTGAAGCAGTGTGCTATTTACACCTTACTGCTTCACAGCAGTTCTAGGGTAAGGATAAGTGGCAAGCAGTTGGAACACAAGTTCCTATTGGACCCAATGAGATCAAGCTAGACCTGATCCAGGAATGTTGTAATCTATGCCTCAGTATTTCAAAAATGTGCAGCAAGTGTACAAGCAAGCTCTGTCTTTATCCCCACTCTTTGTTTCTCCATTTTTCATTGTTTCTTGCTGTCACACGTGCAGAAGAAGAGTTCTCATCATAGTCATAGTCCAGTCAGAAACATCTGTAGAACAGATTTTAGTGTTAGCTGCTGAAAATACACCACCAACTGCACTGGTACAAAATTGGATCCCAAAGTTACAGTGGATAATAAATGGCTCCATCTCTTAGCTAATTGCAGTACCTTCAGACTCTGCAGAAAAACTGGGCCACATTTTTTTCTATTAACCCGGAAGCTTTCTATTAACCCAGAAGTGTTTGAAATAAAATCCATAATACGTAATATAAAACCCACAAAACATATGAAAGCATTATTCATTATAAAGTGTTTCAACCTCGAGCATGTAAGGTTCATTACAAAACTTTTTTCTTTTGCAGTATTTAATTTTTCTAACACGTTTTTTTAGTCTTCCTGCCAATGGAAATGCTGTTGTCCTGTAACACAGACTGCTGGGCTTAGCATATTTACAACAGAAATGGCACTGTTTCACTGTAGTTTGGTTTAGTTAGTACTGAGGCTATAGTGAATTATTCTTTCTTGAGCTGCTTATTCAAAGCTTGAATGTTGTGAGCTTCTGACAGCTCTCTTCATGTATCCTAAGCCTGCTAAGCGCCAATCGGTAGCTTAAATATTTATTTCAGCTTGACATCTTCCTGAGGGATGTTGCCTCATTCTGTAGCATCAGAGATGAGAAAAGTAATGACAGCAAGCAAATACAGAAATAGAAATTAATCTAAGGTTCAGCTGAAGTTCACATTTTAACACAGGTTTATAAAGTAAATGGGGATCAAGACTTTTAAGGACCGAATGTTGGGGGCAGTGCCTTGGTTCATCATGGGGATGGACATGGGAATGGATGGGATGGATGGGGAAGGGCATGTCATTAGGTGACCCCCCCCCTCCTGCCTGGCAGGCTCTTGGGGGAGGGTTGGAAGAAGGTTTGTCTGCATACGGTGTGCAATGCAGAAACAAATGAGAGGATCCTCCCTGCTCACTGACAGGACAGGATGACCGGTGATTTCTGTCAGCTAAGGGGGGGATACGTTCCACCAATGTAACTGGTGGAAGATAAACTGGGACCCTAAATACCATGTGTTTTCTCCTAGTACCACAAGCACATTGATAAATTAGGTTTATGCACATAGTAGAAGATTTTCTTGCTTCATTTTATACAGGAAGCTTCTGGTTGCATTTTGAAGTGCCTCCAGATATTTTCTAGTGTTCCTTTCTGGATCTCTGATGTATTTCCAATTTCTCTCTTTTTTTTTTTTTCTTTCTTTTTTTTTTTCTTCCTTTTTTTTCAACAGCCTACCTCTTCCATGGCTCCTGTATGCTATGATTAACAGCTTTGCCCCAGTGACAGTCAGCAGCAATGGTCTGTTCTGTGCAATTGTCCTCCTCTTCATCATGCTGCTCTTTGTCATCCTCTCCATCGCTTTGTGCAAGTGGAGGATGAATAAAATTCTGGGCTTTCTCATGTTTGGGCTTTATTTTGTATTCCTGATTGTCAGCGTCCTCCTGGAGGACAAAGTGATCCAGTGCCCTGTCTCCATCTAGTGGAAAGTGCTGTTTCCTAAGGGAAAAAAAAAAAAAAAGTTTATTTATTCAAAATATATCTATATATCGAAATGAAACAACAAAAACAAAACAAAAACAAAGCAAGCAAACAAAAACAATTTAAAGATTTGTAAATCTCCTATTCCTCGGCCATAAAAGAGAAAGAAAAAGATACAAAGAGAGGAACTCGGAGTGAAGACTGATTGCTGCTGGACAGTGCGGATGCGTACGAAGGGCTGAGGCCAGCTGCGCCAACGTTTTCTTTGTTTGCTGCAGAACAACCTCGCCCCTCAGTACTGGGGATGCTGCACACGCACTGAGACAGTGAAAGCTATTCTTTCTTCTATGCCTACGGTACATATCCACAGACTACTTTTTCTCTGTAGTAGTATACACAGACACACAGAGTATTCATTTCTTGAAGCTATAATCTTCTAAAGGGGAATGCTAATATTGACTTGGGGAGGGACCACCCTCCCACACACACCTCGACATGGGATTTATCTGATGATCTGCTGATGCTGCTGAATGGAAAGCAATCACTGAGTGCATGAGTCACAGACAAGGAAGATCTTACACGTCTCTTCATTTGGGTGGACTTACATGATGTGATTTCAGCAGAGCTAGGGAGTTACCAGTGTATGATCCTCTGCATCACAGTGCTATAAAGGCCATTGGCAGGATGTTACTGATGATTTACTACATCTTGCAAAATGCTTCAGACTGCTGAAATTCCAGCTCTAGCACTGAAGGGACAATGTTGGATGGCCATTTCGTGACTGATGCAGATTTTCACTCTATTCACAGGCAAAGCCTGTCTGGGGATTTGCTCTTTACTTTAATACCAATGCAGCATGCAAAGAGATGATACAACTACTATGTGAACACAACATTTTTTTCTAATGCAGCAATACTAACAACAGTACCAATGGCTTTCAGATGCTGTTACCATTATAAGTTTGCCTTTTGATGCCAGAAGAAAAAGGCTTATTTGCTTATGCATAGTATTTCATACAGACAATAGAGGTAGTTGTCAAGTGGCAGCCTAAATGCTGAAGTGGATATATATTTTACAAGCTATCTTTGTCCATTACTTGAAGTGTAAGGACCTTCACAGCTACATATAGACATTATTGGAAAAAATATCCAGCTGGTATACAAAGCTGAGGCAGTTTTTATCGCTTATATAAATCTTGAGACTAGGTAGAAGAAACTAACAGCTTAAACATAGTGGAGCTGCAGGAAACCTACATGAAAATTTTTCATTATTGCTGGAAGAGTGAATGTCTAAAGAAGTCTAGGAAAGAGTGATAATGCAATATCTTACTGAAATCCTGAGAGGATGAGGAGGTACAAACTGAGAACAAAAGAGAGAGAGAGAAAGAAAGAGTGAAGGAAAGGCAATGCTCATATTTCCTGTAGTGTGTATGATTTTAAAAAATGGGAGAACTGGAACAGGTGTTAAGAAATTATTTCAGATAATTGGTGTTTGTTTCTTCAAGTCTTTCTTTGCAGTTAGAGTTCATGAAATTTCAGCATATATCTATGACCTGTTTCAGCATTGTTCTGTATTTGTATTGTGCTCACAATGGCAATGCAATGCTCACAGCTGTGCAACAGAAGGCTCAGCACATTTTGTCTTGTCTGTTTTTCTGATGCTGTCACCGTGCTTTCCTGCCTGTGTTCCATGCTGTTTGCTTTTCACTCATCCCCTTTGTGGTTTACTGTATTCCTATTATCTGTGTTTGTATATATAACAGTAGCCAGCTACTAGGACTTGACAGAAAACAACAGTAGAGAAAAACATAAGAAATACATATTAAAAAATATTGAAATATTAAGGTTGTGAGATATTATTTAAAATGCAAGATACTACTGAGTAAAAAGCAAGAAAACTAGGAGTTACAATGTCTTCTGCTCATGTCTTATCCTAAAGTATTAAGTCCTATGTAAAGAATTACATTCAGAACGAGTATTTGATCTTAACCATACAATTAAAATAGCCCTTGCTCCTTCACACATTTCTCTCATTGGGAGCACAAAATTGTCAGTGATGTATTTAAGATCCTTCATTGCTCCAGAATCCTTACTTGTATTAACTATAGTGCTTCCAGTCTCTTAACATTTGTTTCTATGGGTGCACTCAAAGGTAAGATGTACATACATACAGTGCCCTCTGCTGAAAAGAACAGCAATCCTGCGAAGGATAATCTGTGACCCACATTGTGAGCTCAAATGAAGCAGGTGTCCCAAAATACAGAGCTGACTCTACAGTGTAATCTCAGAAGATTCACCAAATGCTTTCTGTTGCTGATGACAGTGCTCAGAACAGGCCGTCAGCATGACCCAAGTGATTCTTTTGCAGGTGAGCAGAAGAAGGCAGTGTGATCTAAAAGACCATGTGCAGGGTTGCAGTAAGTCTGTGTCACTTACAATAATCAAAGATGCTCAAACTCACTGGTCTACCTTTCAAATTGAGAAACCAAGGAAGGACAAGAGCCTGATCTCTGTTCAGTGCATTATTCCTGCTTTTTTTCTTCTGGCTTCATAAACACTGCATTGTAATTCCTGTAATGAAAAGAAAAAAGCCCTACATGACCTAGGGAGTTGTAAGAGCACACTGGTGTGTACAGTAAGGCATGGGCAGCAACAGCAGAGACTACTGAGGGCAGGTAGGGAGTAAGGAGTAGGTGACTGAAAGCCTTACACATTGTGAGTATTTCAGTCCAAAGGTGGCATGAACAGCTTGAAGAAAGACTTTTGTGCACAGGGCTAAGGCTGGTATCCCGTAATGGCATTCATACACTATCTTAAAATATCTGATTCATTTCTTTCCCGGAGGATGTTGGCTGTGTCTGCTTGCTCCCATCAATGTATTCATCCTGGAAGGTATTAGAAGTAATTTTCTACCCCTGAGGAATTAGACAGCTCACGTTTCCCACTGCCTCGCCTCTGCTGGGCAGATCATTATTCAAAGGGCTGAATAACTCTGCTATTGGTGGTAGCTCAGCTCCAGAGGTAATGGGGGAGATTTAAGGTCTGTAATGCATCTGGAGGAGGCTGTTTGTGAAAGCTGGTTATGCTGCACAAGGAAGACAGTCGTTTGCATAACTGCTGGAGTAAGCTGTTTCAGGATCCTTGCAAAAGTGTGTGTTCTTTGGTTAAAAGACAATAGCTGTGCTGATAGAGGAAAGAGAGGAATGAGAGAAGGTAAACCTCTTATCCCATGCAGGAGGAATTTGAAAGTCATCAGCTGGAAAGCTGGAAGGACAGCTGGCAGCTGCTGCAAACCAGTGACTGGATGCTCATGGTCTGTCCCAGCTCAGCACCACCAGAAGGCACACCACTTGCTGGGACACTCTTATTTCACACTGATAGCGAATTTAGCAATGGTTGAATTGCTATGCTTTAACAGTAGTATCACTTCAGTATTCTCCCTTCGAATTCACTGACTGTTTTTCCAGTAAAAGGTGTTTCCCATTGTTCATAGCTGTTTCACTGTTGGATCTGTCAACATTTCTCAGAACTGTACATCTGGAAATCAAAATTAAATTTCTGTTTTAGTCAGGCAAAGTTTTGAATGACTTCATTAGAAAACTGGTCCTGCAATCTGCCTGAGTTCTGCTGTGCACTAATCAGCATAGAAGTCTTCTCATGCACCTGTATGCCTACTCCTATTTATTCAGTTGATGTCTGCATAATACTCATGAAGCATATACATATAAAATAGAAATTGGTGTTACAGTAAAAATCCTGTTATTGCTTAATATTTTCTGGCCAACCCCATGTTGGCAACACCTGTAGTAAGGTAAGAGTACAGGATAAGACTTCAGTTTAAGTAGACACCTCTCCATAGCACCACACCTGAACAGAGCCAGTGTTGGATATGGGTTTTGGAATGGATTTCCAGTAACATTCTAGTATGATTATGGATCAGATTATAACCTGTTGTAAACATTTTTGGCACTGTCTTCATTGGAATTAAAGAAGAAAATGGGCTTCACCTGCAAAACACCATTGAAGTCCTGCAAGAATTTACTGTTTTACACACAACCACAGCAAAGCAGACCAAACAAAAGCCCACTTCCTCTTGCATAAGCCACCATGGTGGAATCTTGTAGGGTAGATGCTATAGAAGTGTAATATGAAGATGGTTTCTTCAAGAACTACATGTAGACATGGGAAAATTTTTCAGCAAATTTCTGGGCATTTTAAAATTATCTATTCTACTGAGAGTTAGTGTTTTTGTGTAGTGCAGACAGGCTTTCTGTGCCGATATGCCTATGCTTATTTATTCAATAGATGTTGATGTCTGCATAATCCTCATGAACCATAAAGCACAGTGGGAGACAAAGAAACTTATCTAAATGTCATTTGATGTTTGTACTGGCAATGAACTTGCTATGTATTTTCCATATATGCTACTCTGAAGTAGTTTATGGTAACTGTCACTCATGGTACTGTTGTGTGTGGATATGAAGGTCCATAAAGAGGTAGGTAGATTAAACATGTGGTTAATCTATACTATAAGAAATAGATGCTTAGAAATATTTTTAATGTTTGGGCGTTTTTTAAGGGATTATTTCTCTGGTTGTCTTTTATTTCATTACATAATTAGAGAAATAGGGAAAAACATTTTTTTAATGCTTCTCCTTTCAGCAGTAATTCCTTAAGGTAGCATCTTGTGTCCCATCTTGGGTTCTAAATCAAATATGAGTCTGGATCAAATAGATTTATTTAATTTATAACAAAGAAATAATCCCTTCTCCAACAACTGGCCCACTGACATCCAGAAGCTTTCTGCCATTTACTTGGACAAGATACAGATTTTTATCCTAGGATAAAAAATAAATGCTCCCATGTAACATGCAGAATTGTCCTAGGAGCTATGTTCAAGGAGAAAAATTGCATTCACTTGTATTCTTTGAAACCATTTTACCTCTTGTAAATAACAATGACACAGCTAACTGAGAAAGAGGCATGGTTAGCTCCTCTGAGCAGGCGAGTCTTGTTTTCCGGCTGTTCCTGAGAAGTTTAATGTGAGAACTTGTAGGTGAAGACATATCTGCAGAAGGTGATTGCCAGATTAGCAAATGGGATAGTTTGCACTGAATGGTGCAGAGTCCTGCTGCAGCTCTCCAACAGGGCGCCTGGCTGATGTTACAAATGTTCCTTCTTGGAGCTGTTGCTATCAGTTATGGTAGCAACTTATGTTGCTGTCAGTTACCATTGCTGAGATACCAGTCATTTCCTTTGGGACTGGGGAGTGTAACTTCCAGACTGAAGTTATACAATTTCTTGCACCATCAGATACCGAAGTCATATATGAATCACAGCCCTGTAGTCTAGACAAATCATGTGGACCTGCTGTGTGTTGCTAATTGACAGTGTATGGCATCTCAGGACTTGTCTGCCTGGGTGGGTGCAGGCAGCTTGCACGCCCTCCTTGCTCGAACTCCAGCATGGCTGGACATAAGCCATCTCTTCTCCAGAAGCCATGTAACCACCTGAGCGTGGCGCTGAGCTGTGCTCCCAGCCAGCCAGATCTAAGTCAGCCCCAGCCTAGAAGCCATGTAACAACTTGGGTAGACCAAATGCACAGCTGGCCACATCGGTCCCAAATGAGCCATTAGCAGCCCAGGACAAGACTGAGTAAGAAATGATGTGAGTTGAAAATGGCAAATGAACTTTACATTCATGTAGACTTATTGTGAATTCACCCCTCATCAAATGCAAAATCAATCTAAACTATGAAATTTGTATGCGTTTTTAAAGATCTTGCACTTTACTACTTTTTTTACTTTTATTTTATGTCACATAGTTGTCTTAATGCAAAAAGAAGCCATAAAAACCCAGAAGACTAGCTTTGGGTTTCTAAATAAGGGGATAATTAATTTTAAGGTGAAGCATCCATTTCACATCTCTGTTTAAGGTATGATGTAAAATACTATCAAACAATGTACAGTAAAGCAGGATCTGGTTTTGCCTTAGTGAAGCTGTGAGTAAATCAGAGGGAGTTTGCTTATACTCTTGAGATTCCCTGTGAGACTGTACAAAACGCTGCACACTGCCTTTGCAGCAGGAGCTCAGTCCTGCCATCCTTGTTCACCCCAGAAGAGGGAATACAGTGGTCACAGAGTCAGGCCCAATGACAGAATTAAATCTTCCTGTCACTCTAATACTTTCTCCCACTGAGATCACTGTAAAGGAAATCCCTTGTATATTAGTGAGTTTACAAAAGTTGTATAATTTCTGTCACATCTTTTTTACAAAGAAATTAAGTATTTTAGGGTCAGGCTATATGATACTAATCAGGCACTTCTTTTAATCCCCTGTAAAAATCAAGTAATGGCAAAGGGATTTTGCTTGGTTTTGTGTTCATTTCCATTACCAAGATCTCTGTTACACAGTCCTAATTTTGCAGTTCTGACTCTGGGGAATTGACTCATGTGAGTGAAAATTATTTCTGTCATAAAGGTGGCAAGATCAAGCCTCTGTATTGTCTTGTGAAAGTAATAGAAGCATGTTATAACTGACAATCAGATGCTATTTTTGTAATGAAGTTTTCTTAGCTTGATTGTTTCACTTTGTAGTTTTCATACTCTTCCATCTCTCATTTTCAACTTATTGAGAGAAAAATGTGAAGTCCCCCATCTTATTCATTTCAAACTTAAAATAAATAAATAAATAAATAAATAAATCTATTACTGTGGAAGCTGGTCCAAGTGACCCCCAGAAAATTCCAGTTTTTCTCATGTGTTTATGCTTATGGATCATCACTCACTATATGAAACTCTCTTATCTCTAAATTGGTGTATTCTCTGTGCGTATAAGTTTGTACATAGTATGGAGGTTATATTTATTTGTACATAGGCTCTCGGAAATAATCCCTTCTATCAAAGGTCCTACTTCTCTCTATCTACAGAATGTTTCACTGTGTTGTGTACACTTTTTCACATAAATGTATGAACCTTATAATACTGATACAGAGTTCTTCATATAAGTCACTCTAAGTAATTAAGTTGTCTAAGTGTGGATAACAACATCAACAATAAACAATAATAATAAACAATAATAAAAAAGACTTGACAGTCTTATTTTGTTCAGTATTTTGTCTTAATTGTTGTGGGCTTGCTATGGCTCTGAAAATAGTCTTTAACTGCATGCTCTGAGGTGAACAAGGGTCTACATGGCTACTCTTAATCATTAGCGTTAAAGCAACAATCACTACTCTTTCCATGTCAGTGTCCTCTCTTGTGTGTGTACACATAGTGAAGAGACTATCTGTGTTACAGTGAGCTTAAAATCTAGTCTATGACCTGATGTGAATCCACCAGATATCTTCCCTGGAGTATATTGCCCCCTTTGGGCTAAGTTTCCCTACATTTCTGTACTGGTACATTTGCTTGCAGATTGTTTTGAAAGCAATTCTTCATTTCAACACCTTGTTGTTTACTTTTCAGTCTGACACCCTTGCAAGCTAGGATATTTGCCTATTTTTGAGTCTGTGTCTGGATGAATGATGCTTTTAAACAAAAGAACCTTCTTAATGAGAAAATCAGTAACATTAAACATTTCCCATAATCCACATTTCCAACAATGAAGATGTCACAAGTAATACAGAGTTGCACTCAGCAACTATATTTGATCAAATAGGCATTATTGCTTTCTCTCTTGTAGTAGCCCAGAAAATCTTTTGACACAGTGAATCAAGATATTTTTAATAAAGCACTGTGCAACCCTTAAAGGTGTGAAGCTCATGACAGAGGTATTTAATTCATCTTCCATCAAAGACTGAAGATTTTTTATTGTAAAAACACAAGAGGTTTACTAAAAGACTGAGTTGAGAATGGTGGTTATCTAGAGACATTTATGCCTGCCAACTGGGAAGAAAAAAACAACCAAACAAACAAAAACAAACAAGGTCAAACACATCCTACAGAAATCTAAGCTGCAGTATGCTGCAAGTCACAGAGGCATGTGTGAGATGTTTTGAAATTTAGCTTGGAGGGGCAGAGTTTAAGGGAAAAGCCATGCTAGGTTTTATCTGCACAAAGAAGTGTGCCCAAACAGGTGCCCAAAGGTGTGTGCACTGATGTGTGTACATGTGCACTGGCCACCACAGGGCTGTGTGCCTTTGCTGCTGCACCCCGCTGCTTGTTAACGTTTGATGCTGCTTCAGCTGTAGCCGCTTCTGGAAGGAGACAAAGGGTTTGAAATCCTTCATTACCACAGCAGGCCTTGATGACATAGGGCTGGTGGGAGCAGGGGAGGGAGAAAAATATTTTAATTCACCTCCTCAGTCCCTCCCAGGGGAAGGACGGAGAATGTCCTTGCTTTGTGTTTCCTCTTCTGCAAGCAAGTACTTCACTGCTTTGTCTGTCATGTCTGAAAACAAAACAAAACAACAAAAAACTCTGTTCGTTCACAATTGCTTTTTCATTTAGAAGGACTTTTCTTTGACAAAGAGAAAAGTGATGTATGTTGTAAAACTAACTGCTTGATCTCCACTCTGGAAAGACTTCAGAGCTTCTCTTTAAAACAGGGAATTCCCTTCCTGTCAACACCTCTCTCAGAAATAAATGTTGTGCCAAACTCTTGTAGAGAATAGAGGCTGTAGATTATTGCCCTAAAGAGATGTTTTAATCATTCTGTCATCTCCCTTTTATACAAATTTCCTTATCACAGTTTGTATAATATTCCTTTGTTGTGGGCAAGGGTTTTTTTTGGAGCCAGATGATGAGATGCCCGTGATCGGGCCATAAATTTACATTTTTTCCTCTGAGGCCTCAAACTCAAACCAAACTTCTTGAACGCTAAACACAAGGGTTGCAGGCAGAGAAGTTCCCATTTGAACAGCACCAAGTCAGGCGCTTAAGCAACAAACCTCAATTTTGGTGTCTTGGTGAGCCAGAGGCATCCCCAGAGCTTTGGGTCTTCAGGGTACCTGCAGCCATGGTTCACTTGTCCACAGGCAATGATCAGTAACAGCTCCCCCTTACAGCTCCCCCCAAGCCGCTACAATAAACACATGAAATCAGGCATGCTTGTTCCTCTGCAATGGATGGGTACCTGCAGAGGAACTAGGTCAGGGCCTAGGAGGGGGTCTGGTCTGTGGTCTGAGGCAGGGGAGGTGGGTGTGAGGTTTTCTCCCTGTACACTGTGTTGCCAGGCCACCTCACTGGACTTTCAGTTTCACTCTGTGTTGCAAGAATAGAGCAGGGTGCAGGAGGCTAAATATGAAGAAAACTGATAAGAAGATTACCAGTTATAATTTATTTCAAAAATCCCACTTCATAGACTGCATTCTGTCCTGTCTCCCTGCAGCCTGGTTTAATTGTATTGTAACATGCAGTTTGGTTTTCAATTTGATGACAGCAAAAACACTGACCCTACATGCTTATTTCCTATTATTATTATTTTTTTTTAACTAGGTTGAAGGAAAAGGAAAACTAATCCCAGAATTTTCTAACTGTCTTTGAACATCTAGATCAACTCTTGTCATCATTTATGGCCTACTTGCTCCGACTTGCTACCATGCCATGCTGCTGGTAGGAACTTGCCCCCCATGGCAATGACCAAATCTCTCTAATTTGGTATCTGCATTTTCTTTACTTAGGGGTTCTAGCATGATCCTTTGTAGCTAGCAGACAATGCTAGCCAAAGCTAACTCTAAAGAACTTGACTTAAGGACCTTACAACACGCAGGACTCCTCAGAGGAATTAGTTTTGGTATTGGAAATATTGGCTCATTTTTAGGCTAATATGTTGTATGTTTCATCATTTGGGGCTCTGTCAGAAGGGTCAATAAATACATTTTTCCATTATATTTTATAGCCATGGCAGGAACAAACACAATGAAGCCAAACCTGCTCTGTCCTCAGCCCCATTTGTACTGCCCTAGGCCCCTCCACTCCACTGTCATCTCAGCTCCCCACACTGCCCAGCATGATATAAATGCTGTTGCATGGGGGAGTCCCACAGATGAAGGCAGGCAATGCTCAGAGCATGAAGGGCTTAGGTCTTGTTTGCCTATTTTAAGGCTCAAGCAGTGGGAAGTGCCCTCACCTAGAAAATTAAACCCACAGCCCTGGCCAAATGGGCATGAAAAACTCTTAGTGTAATTCAGATTCTGAGCTTGAAGTTTTGTTTTATTTTAAACTGGAAGTTTCAGACTTTCTCAGCTTAATTAGCATCTCAGGACACCTGTGCTTTTGTAATCTATCAGATGTCTGGGAGAAGTGCAGTTTTGCTTACAGGAAAGAGCAAAGTAAGGGATTGATGCCAACACAATACTCCTTCAGGTGCATTGCAGGCACTGCTGTCCTCCAGAGCAAGGCCAGTTTGCCCCAGCTAGCAGCATAAATGATGATACTGTTAGCTGTCTTTGGTACCTCTTCATGGCTCTAAGTACAGAGGTAAGGTCTGTAAACACCACCAGCCATCATGGTAGGAAAACATGGTAGGAAAACTGGCACAAGTGTTGCTCTCTTGGTGTGCTCATTCATTTCACAGTGGGTTTGTGCCAAAGTCTGGATACCAATAGAAAGGTGACACTACTTACATTCACTCACTGTTTTACCTGCTCTGGTGAACAGTACCACTCCTGACTTATAGAAGAGAAACAGAAAAAATGCATTGGTGTAATGGTGCTCTGGCATTTGCTCTAGTTTGGCTGCTGCAGTCACAGAGCCCAGGATACACACCTTGTAAGCAGAAGATTCTAAGAAGGGGCAAACAAAAACGAACAAAAATCTACCCACCATCTCTACCACAAACTACAGCAGGAAGAGGCTGATATGTTGATCTCACAGAGAGGCACTAGTCTTAGGAAGTGCCAAGGCAGGTAGGTGGATTGTAGCACAAGCAGGTCATGTCCTCAGTATACGCAAGCTGGCTTATCTGGATTAATAACTGGTACCAGCATGGCTGCTCATTTTCTTGGAATTACATTGACACCAAAGTGTCCTGCAGCAGGTGTGTTTGAGGACACTTTCAGGCAATCATCCCTACTGACAGAGATAATAATAAAACCTCTAACTCAGGAGAGAGCAAAGTGAAGCTAAGGCAAATACAGTAAGCAGGATAGTACACGTCTGTGTGTCCTTGTTCCAAATATACACATACCTTAGTGTTATAGCAGCTGTTCTCCTCCCCAGCCAAAATCCCTGCTGGCCTTCCTTGAAACCAAAGCATCATCTGGGCTCTGGGCTGTTTCAGTTCTGAATATTGTGGAGTAAGGACAATGATAGAGAGAACTGATAGACTATTTAATGCTGACTACACCTGCTAGCAAAGTGCAGGTGCCTAAACAAAGTTCTGGGTTCCTCCGGGTTTCCATTGCAGAGAGCAAACCTCAGCCCTAACACACACCTGTGAAGGTCTGTGGTTGGTGTTTTCCTTCTACAGTGACTTTCTTCTCCTGACCACAGTTTCCCTGAATGCATGTCACATAACTCAGCATATTCCATCACTTCCTCAGTCACACAGTGAAAGTCACTATACACCTGCAGGAGGACCCTAGGTGAAAACACACACATCATGCAGAGATGCATGAACTCTCAAAATGCAACCCACAATGTGCCAGCAGGAAGCACGGAGTGATTTGTCTGAGCCGGTTCTGTCTGGAGGTGCAGGCCATGCTGATTTTTCCCCATGGACCTCCAGTGAGTCAGCAGCAGGGTCAAAACGGCTTTGCTGTCTTTGAGAAGAAAGGACAGGGAACTGTGTCATCCTTTGGACTCTACACAGAACTTGAAACAGTAAAGGCCTCGGTGAATCTCTTTTCCCTAGGTTCGAGTTGTGTTTTAATATGAATTTATTACTCTGAAGAGCAAATACCTTTATCTGGCTCCAGAAAAGTCTGTCTAACCAGGAATAGGAGAAATCGCATGAGAATTTTTGAACTGAAATTTCACAGAATTAGGAGTCACCATCTGGGCATGTGAATATATTGCTAGAAAGGTATTCTACATGCTGATGTGGAGGTATTTGCTGTGGGATAAGATAAATGCAATCCACTTTGTGATACTAAAATTGCAAACCCAAGCTGTGCATAGAATATCAGCCATTTGGGATATTTTA